CACTGAATAGAAAGACTCTTCTTCCTCCACTAGTTACGAGAATTAGAAAAAGTTTCTCCAATTTTAAAGGAACTAATGAGAATTGTGATTTATTGCTTGTTTTAAATGCATGACACAGGTTGGATTAAAAATACTAAATGGTCACTACTAATTTGTTGTTCACCAGCATTTAGCCTGAGTTTTAAAAACATATTTTTTCTTGTCTTTATTACTGAAAACATTTCTACTCAGACTTTTCGATATAAACCATTTCAGATGTATGTTATTTACTGTTATTTAACCTTAAGGCAAACTATTGTACATATTTTTGCACATTCCCCGAAGTACTCGGGGTAAACCCACACAAGCACGAAGAGAACATGGAAACTCTGCACAGAAAGACCCCAGGTCCAAAACTGAGATTGAACCCAGGACCTTCTTGCTGTGAGGCACCAGTGCTAATCACTGAGCCATCGTGATGACTATGTTGAAGAAAAAATGAACATCTCTGTATAACAACAACAGACAAAGGTCCCTAAAGAATAGCACATCACCACCACCTTTCATAGGTAGAGTTTTATGTACATGTTGATGGAGCTGCAGCTGTTCTAGTCAGTTTTTGAAAATATGGTTATGTGCGAGCCCACACATGTGTCTGCTACTACAAAAAACTATCTCAACATCTGTAAAATGGTCTGAGTTAGAGGCATACAGTATGTGTTGGTTAAGATGATTCATTGTGGCAGCCACCTCAAATTGAGTTGATTCCTAAAGTTAATGAGCTCTGTATGTACAGCCAATGAATCCAGTGTCTGTAAAATGTCAATAGGGTCATGAGATAGTCTGCCGGAGGGTCGATAAATAAAAACAAATGTCCAAACACAGGCAGAAACATTATTACCCACTTTATGCCTTTCTGRAGGGGACAATAATAATCCAAACTGTATTATTAGCACTACTTTAGCTTTGTATGGGTAAAATGATCTACATTTACCTTTTTACTAAAAAACACTATGTGTATATATATATATATATATACTGTATTATTAGCACTACTTTAGCTTTGTATGGGTAAAATGATCTACATTTACCTTTTTACTAAAAAACACTATGTGTATATATATA